GGATAACCTTGTCGGAATCCATTCCTTGCATTAATCCATCTTGAAAGCCTTCCATTAAACATCAATGAAAATTTAGGATCATTAACGAACTACATAATCCAACCGGAAAATACTCGAGGAAATCCAAAAAGCTCGAAAACTTGCCTTAAGGTCTTCTAGTACATGCTATCTTATGCTTGCTCCATGTCGATTTTAAAAGATACCAGCCCTTTTGATGCTTTTGAAAACCTGAATTTATGAAATACCTCGTGAGCAACAAGAATGTGATCTTCTAGAGACCTGTCGTTAAGAAAGGTAGCTTGCTCTACTGAAATTAGTTTATGAATAGTTGGTTTCATTCTTTTTAACAGTATCTTCACTTCCAACTTATAGATAGTCTTGCAAAGACTAATTGGTCTGAAGTGGCTCGGAGTAGATGGATTTTCAACTTTAGGAATTAGCACTGTTAAAATTTCTTTCCATCCATCATTCATCACTTCCGAATTGAAAAAAAGATTAATTGCATTCCATAAATAATCTTTAATAATGCACCAATAAGTTTTCACAAAAGAATAAGATATACCATCATTTTCGGGTGAGATGTTGTCGCCGGCTTGATGAAACACTGCTTCCACTTCCTCCTTTGCCAACTTCTTGTTTAAACACCAGTTATTATTGTCATCAAGAGAACCCATCCAATTTACAGGTCCTATCCTTCCATTTCTCCATAAATGAATGCAAAAAAATATCAGCAATTTGATCTTGATCTTCCACCTCGGTCCCGTTGTCATCCTTGTTTTCATAAATCCAATTTGAATTCCTTCTAGTTGTGGCAAATGAGTGGAAAAATTTTAAATTAGTGTTAACATGAGACAACCATTTTACCTTGGCTCTTTGTTTCCACCAGGTGTTCCACTGTGCCAAGACTGAATTCAATTCGCAAACATATGCCTTATGACTCCAAATATCCTCCTCCGAGAGCCAACCAACCTCTGCTTCCTTCATTTGTAACTCCAAGATACTTCTCTTTAGGTCTTCCTTTTGAATCACATAGTTCCTATGCTTTGCTTTACTCCAGAAGAATAAAGTTTTTAAGGTTCTCTTAAATTTTTTGTTTAGCAATTCAGCACAATCACCCACGGTTTTCTTACTCCAAGCCGACTTCACAATAACCTTAGATGCTGGATAAGAAACCCAAACCTCTTCGAACCTGATGACCCTCTCCGACTTTAATCTATGCTCCAAGAAATTTAATAAAATAGGACAATGGCCCGATGCCACTCTAGCAAGATGCCTGACCACCATCTGATTAGAAGAATTCATGGCAGCAACATTTAAAAAGCATCTTTCTAATCTTTCCAAGATCCGAGCTCCTCTAACCTTATTGTTGCACCACGTAAATTTTGGCCCAATAAAACTAATCTCATGGAAATCATTATTCACTAAGAAGGATTTCATTTCTTTTGAAGCTTGAGAGAACTGAAATCTCTTCCCACCCCTTTCATCCTGCTTAGACAACAAACAATTGAAATCCCCTACTACTACCATAGGGTATTGCTTGTATAATACTCTTTCAATATATCCCAAAGGATTCTCCTATGAACAACCTCCTTGCTACCATAAACAGTAGCAATCCTCCATATACCTTTATTAACAACCATTAGATCCCCTATCACCACCTGTTGTGAAGATTCCACTATAGAAAAGGATGCAAACTTACTCTTCCAAAGAATAAAAATTCCTCCAGACATTCCATCTGAAGGTACCTCAAAAAAATCCCAACTCTCTCCAAAAAGATTATTGACATCCACCCTACTAATTGTGCAAATTTTTGTCTCAAGCAACCCCACAAAAAAAAACTTCATTATCTTTTACTACTTTGAGATATAGAGAAGCTTGCTTCTTTCTAGCTCATCTACAATTCCAAAACATATTTGAAGCCATTATAGAATCAGAGGGGAATAGTTCCCCACCCTTTCATTACCATCTCCGTCTTTCTTTCTACTTCTAGACAACAGCTTGATGGTATCAAGACTTCTCAGTTCTTTAGCTAATTTGACTTTAGCATTAGCTGAACTCCCTTCCAGTTTTCCTTTTACATTTTTAACCTCTGGATCTAGAACTATTGTAGAGCCATCTCATACAGTTTTTTTAGTCATGCCAATAATAACTTCTTCTACCTCCCCCGATGCCACGGGTTCATCACTTCTATCTTCATTAGTTGGGATTATCTCTCCTTCCTCCAACAATTCAGATAGCACCGCAAATTTATTCATCCCTTTTAGGGAACACTTCGTATCCACAACACCATCAATATCCTTCTCTAAGATATTATCAACTTGATTATAACCTACAATATTATCCTCCTTGGATGTAATTCCAACTCGGATAGGTTCAAGATTAACACTTTCTATAGTTCCCTTATTCTTATCATCAGCTGGCTTGCCCACTTATTCCTTTAAACTAGATTTCCTTCTTTGAATGCCAAAATTTCTTTGGTTGAAAAACTTCTTCCTCCCATAGTTAACATGTATCCAAGGGCCATAAGTAGAATCAACCTCCTTAGAAGTTTCTCCCACCTTCCCCTTAGAGCTTGTAAAAGAGAGATTACCATCATGGAATGACGTCTTCATGCCATTTTCAAAAGTTTTGGATCCACCTTGATTTGCTCCTAAATCCACCTCTGAACATTTGCTTTTAGAATGTCCAATCCTGCCACATTTAAAACAAAGTTTAGGAATTCTCTCAGATTCAATTCTCTGGTAGAATCGACCTGAACTCCCTTCCACCTAGACTCCCAAAGGCACTTTGTTTTCAAGTTGAATATGGACATAAATCATTGCAAACTCCCTCCTCCCCCATTGGAACATATTGTCGTTTATTAAATAAGGCTTGCCAACTTTAGATGCAATCCTACATACATTAATATCATCCCAATATTGCAAAGGCAAACTCGGCCTTCTAATCCATATCAGTGCAGTTAAACCCTTTAATGAATTCGGAGAAAACAAAGGCGACCACTTTTCCACACTAATTATCTGTCCCTTAACATACCATGGTCCATTTGAAAGAACCAAATCCACCGATTCCTCATCGTCAAAAACTCAAAGCATCCATCCCTTAACAAGCCAAGTAACGTTAAATTTACCTAATTGTTACCATTTCCTCTTAAGTTCTGAATTAATAACATAAGAAGGAATGTTTTCTCCAAAACCTTTGATAACCAGAGCATTTTGTAATTTTTTTGTGTTCTCCAATTCATTTTTCTCATACAGCTTGATAGCTTCGCCATCTTCTGTCAGGCAGCTTCCAATTTCCAAGTCAACAACTCTTCTATTGGATTTCTTGTTCTAGACATTGGCCAGGCCATTACCTTCTGGTCCTTTATCCTTGGAACACTTAGCTTCATCTTCCAGTTGTTTGCATGAATCACGATCACTGGATACGCATTGTCAAACCACCTCCAGATCTTCAATTAAGTTATTTGTATTAACTCCGTCAGATACATTTGGAAAAATAACTATCAATCTTCAGCCATAACATCTTTACTACTTCCAATGTCTTTGGACCCAAAACTCAAAATATTGGACCTAATCCTAGAAGTAGGAATTTTGAATGGAGAAATAAATCCATATCTTTTTGCTTTGTCAGCCATAGAAAGACATACAAAGATTATTTCCACATTTTATGCCTCCATATAGCTTGAAACCCTAGTAGTTCGATTGGTGCCCCTCTTTCAATGGATTATGAATTTCGAATTTGATGCTCTAGCTTTGGAATATTCCTCATGCATCTTGGGAACTTTCTTGACCATTTTGAAAGGTTCGTAAAGGTTCAGGAATATTCTGTATGACTCCAAAAAATTTTAGATTTTCTTTATCTTTCTGGATCATTCAAACATGATTTTGGGCCTTTTTCTCATATTTTTTTAACATCTTTTTTGAGTCTTGTATTGTCTATCAGTTTTTGGAATTATGATGCGTAATCATTTTCATTAAAAAGATGGAATAATTAGTGTGATCAAATATGGTATAAGTCCAAATTTGTTTTATTTGCGCAGCGAAATGTGCTATGAAATTACATATTATACTGAAATTCTACTTATGAATACCTAAAATGCTTCTTGATTTCGAGCAATTTAATACTTCATTCTCTTTATCTATTCATATCACATTTCGTACAAACAAGATTGCATCGTTGGTTTGCAAGCAAGTCTTTATTTATCCAAAAAAATGTATTGTTTAGTGCATACCACTAAAATGTATACTATTTACATATTTAGCACTTTATTCTTTGTACTTACATATCATTTAATTTTTTTTTTAACAAAACAAGAATACCACTCCCAAAATCTTGTTAAGTAGGCTAATTTCAGTTTATATGAGCCATCTTTTCTCTCTGTTGAGCGACAACTTACCTCTCTCGTTGTCCACATCTTGTACACCAGCCATCCTCTACATCACGCAACTACTACTCTATCATTTTATTTGTAAAACCTCTCTCATCCATGCAAGAAGACGCAAAAATGCACCTCCCTTCTTGAGCCACCAGGTGCACGCTCCTCATCATTTAATTAGGAAGAGAAGGGTGGAGAATTTTGACAGTTCCCACTTGTTGGTAGATATTTCCATCATGATGAATGACTATTGGGATTCTGCATGAAACTTCGTGAGAAGATATTCACAACGCAATCTGATAGACCATTTTAAACTCAATGGAAATGAGTTAGTTGTGATTGCTATTATCAATAGTTAGGACATAAACCAACAACTTTAGAATACGTGGAACTTTAATTGGTGGCTTAAAAAGGAGATTTATACTACTGAAAAATCCTTGGAGGGATAACTGACAAAGGGCGCCTTATTTTTTTCTACTGCATGTTTCCCTATGCTTTAGACTAATCATTTCCTATGGAAAGTTCACTTAGTAATTTTGTATTTCTGAATTCACTTTGTTAACTATGATAGCTTCGTTCTCTTGTACCATAAGCTGAATGGAATAATGTAGTGTTCTTAATATGGGTTTCAGGTATCAAAAATCTGATTTAGTTAAACTAGATATCCTTTTGAATGGCCAAGCTGTAGATGCAATGGCAACTATTGTTCATAACTTAAAGGCACAAAGAGTTGGCCGTGAATTGGTGGACAAGTTAAAGAAGTTCATTGACAGGTAATCATCTTACAGTTCAGTCTGTTTATTGTATCTTATATGAAAGTTGTTGGTGCTTCTGTTATTGCACATGGTGCTCTTCGCAGGCAAATGTTCGAGATCTCAATACAAGCTGCAATTGGTTCAAGGATCATTGCCCGTGAGACGTAAGATGTCTATTCTTCGTTTTTTCTTCTAATTCCTATTTTTTATCAAATAATTAAGGCATCTTTTTCATTTGCTGAAATTATATTTTTTTTATCCTAAGCATGAAACTTTAAAATTCATCTAGGGTAGAATGATATCTCCTTTCATTCTCAACAAGTATATTTACATATACTACATCACTACCTCTCTTACAATTTAAAATTATAACGTGACCAACAGGAACATTGCCCAATTTTCATAGAACTATGAAAAAGTTGCCTGTGTCAAGAAAAAACAGTGGGAGAGTAAGAACAACAAGGAAAAAGTCATAATTGCTGCAACCTAACTAAGCTAAAAGCTTAAAAAAAAAAACAAATGAGACTAAGAACTGCAACAAAGAACCCAAAAAAGGGTCTTCTAATGGATAAAAGTTCATCCGAAGCATCAGAATAAAACTCAATAGGGACTACTCTCTTGGTTTTCAGAGACGATCATCCAAAGTAAAAGTTAGTTGCCAAGATGACCTACCAAGGGACAAAATTTGATTCTAAGTCATTCATCATTGTCCACATTCACAAGAAGCCACAAATTGAATAAGTGTTGGAGCTGGATATGCTTCAGCTCAAATAAATTTCCAACAGGAACAAAACCAACCCAAAATTAAGAGAGAGAAAAAAAACAATAGTCCTGGTTTAAAGAGGAACCACAGGATCAGAGACAATACTGTGCTGTACCAACCAGAGCAAAGATCTCTAAACCAGTATTCCATATCCAAGAGGAGATTTTTTAATTTCAGCTTAGAATTGAAACCACCAAAACAAGCACATGACATCAACATCTATACCCATAAGTTAGATAGGCAGAAAGAGTTAGTAGCAACAGAAAATGGGTTATCATCCACAGCCCATCCAAAAAGATAGCAGATAGCAAAATTGATCCAGAAAATAAAATGGACAGGCCAGCAGAGAACTAGAACCGGCCAACACCCACCAAGGAAATCAGCCTCACATAATAAGGTTCTCAATATCATGAAATGAACTCCTCAAAGCAATTTTAGCCATAATAGCATTCTTAATAATATGACAAACAGTAGAAGAACAATTGATCTGCCAATAAAATTCCTATTATTTCTTTCCCCCCATAAGTAGTATAAAGAGAAGCAAATAGTAATGAAAAATAGGTTTTTAGAATGCTTCCCAATATTTAATGCTGAAATATAATCCAAAACTTGCAGTAAGGTAGGCCTAAGAAAAAATATATTTAAATCAGGCAGCAGTGTTGAAAGTAATGTAGAAGGAGAAATCTGAAAGCAAATACTTGTAGAAATTTAAAGAATCTTGGCTGAAATATGGAATTTCAGCAAGATAAAAAACATTTGAGAGAAATTTGGTGGCAAAACACTAAAGAAACTTCATAATTGATGAAAGATGAAAGAAAAAAAAAAAAAACAAGATACAATGGATCTTTAGTTCGAGAGGAAGATCCAACTCTCCAAATCTTTAGCTAGAGGCTAGAGCTCAAACAAACCTAAGAGAAAACCAAATTCAGCAAAGACATAATAGAACCCAAACCCTAGGGAGAAAATCTAGGTTAAGTAAAACACAATCCTTTAATCTTTAAATAGCCCTTTACTTTGAATTTTCCCTCCAAAGCCTATCCTTAATTAATACTTAATTAACTGCTGGCCCCTTTAAATAATCACGCCCCTTGCTGGCTGTAACCTTTGCTCCTCCTGTTGTGCACGTGAACCGGTGTAGGGTGGACTAGTCTAATAAATACCCCCTCCCAAAGACCTACCTTGTCCTCAAGATGAAAAAATGGGAATTGATGCTTCACCATCATATGGCTCCCAGGTAACGTCATGGTTGGGTAGGCTCTTCCATTTAATCAGTACTTCCTTGATCCCCCTTCTCCTTGTCGTATCCCTTCCATCTCCAATGGTTTTAACACCACCTCCAAATTCTCATTTAGTGTTGTTGGTAACTCTGAACTAACTGCATGCTCCCCAAAAGATCTCCTCAAATGTGACACTTGGAACACTGGATGTATGGTAGGGATCAGAGGTAACCTCAAGTGATAAGCCACTTCTCCAATCTCCTTCAATATCTCGTAAGGGATAAAATACCTCGAGGCTAGCTTCTCGTTTCTCCTGTTGGCTATTGTCCTCTATCTATAAGGTTGCAATTTTAAGAACACTCTATCCTCCACTTCGAATTGGATGTCCTTCTTGTGTTCGTCCATCTGTTTCTTTATAATTTGTCGTGCCTTTAATAGGTGCCTCTTCAATTTCTCTAATATCATATCTCTTTCCTCCAACTACTGCTCTATTGAAGTGACTGGTGTGCTCCTCTGCCCAAAATGGACCAACTATTTGGGGGGGGGGGGGGGCGCTTTAAATATAGTAGTCTATTGCCAACACATAGCCATTTGGCCAATAACCAAGGAGTCTCTGAAGCAAAACACCACAAGTAAGTTTTCAGGTTCCTATTTGCCACCTCTGTCTGCCCGTCTGTTTGAGGGTACTAAGCGACGCTTCTCTTTAGAACTATTCCTTGCAGCCTGAACAGTTCTCTCCAACTGACTAAGAAACACCTTATCTCGGTTAGATACCATCGACTCCGAGATCCCATGTAAACTAACCACCTTTCTGATGAATGTTGCTGCTATTGTCACTATCGTGTAAGGGTGTCAAAAGAGAATGAAATGATCATACTTTTTTAACTTGTCAACCACTACCAGAATCACTATATCCCTCAAGATCATGGTGGTCCATTTATGAAATCTATGGTGACTTCCTCCCGCACTCTGGGAAGTGCCATACATAGCTATTTACTTTTTTCTCTGGGATACCTCACACTTAGACAACATCACTTCCACATTCTTATGCATCCCCTTACAATACAATTCTATTGCTAATCTTCTGTATGTCTTATGCACACATGAATGGCCCCAAATAGAGTTCACAGGGAACTCCTGCAGCTAGTGGGGAATAAGAACAGAGGTCCGTGGCAGCATAAACCTCTCATGGTACAACAGTCTATTCCCTTATAGAGAATAGCCACGGTGGCTATTCTCATCCTTTTGTAGATCTGCCCAAATCCCCATCAGCCTTTAATCTTATAATCTCCTCTTAATAGCCCTCCAATATAGCATCACCGATACTAAAATAGCCAACTCTTGGAGCTCCCACACACATCTAGTTAAGGCACCAACTGCCTTTTTCTCTAACCCTGGCCTATGCTTTATTCAAAGTCATAGCCAAACAGCTTTGACAACCACCTCTGTTGTTCCTCAGTCACCATCCTTTGCTTTAATAAGTACTTCAAGTTCCGTTGGTTTGTCTTGACAATGAAATGTCAACCCAACAAGTAATGCTGACACTTCTGAATTGATAATACAACGACTATCAATTCCTTCTCATAAATTGACTTCAACTGAGCTCTTATCATTAAGACCTGGCTAAAGTAGGCTATGGTTCTGTGATTTTGCATGAGCACTGACCCTAATTCTTATCTTGAGGAATCAATCTCTACCACGAACATCTGGCTGAAATCTAGTAGGGCTAAGATTGGGACCGTGGTCATGGCTATCTTCAATCTCTCAAAGGTCTGAGTAGTTGTTTCTCACCACAAGAAGTTATCCTTGTTCAGCTGCTCTGTTAGAGGACACGTTATAATGTTGTATTCCCTCATAAATCTCTTGTACTACACCATCAATCCTAGAAAAAAATCCCTCAACTCTCTTTGGTTCATAGATAAAGGTTATTTTAGCATTGCCTCAATCTTGGTCTGATCAGCTGCCACCCCTTTCTATGATATCACATGCCCTAAGTACTACACACTAGCCTGTGTAAAATAATATTTCCTTAGATTGGCTCTCAGTTGATGCTCCTGTAATACTTCTAAGACTGTCCTTAGATGCTTTATATGCTCTTCATTGAACTTGCTATACACCCGGATGTCATCAAAGAGAACTAAAATCAACTGCTTACGGTAAAGTCGAACACCTTGTTCATGAGGAACTAGAAGGTAGTAGGGGCGTTGGTGTGACCAAACGGTATCACCAAGAACTTATAATGTCCCGCGTGTGTCCTGAAAGTTATCTTCAGAACATCCTCCTCTCTCATCCGAATCTGATGGTACCTGGACTTCACGTCCACCTTCGTGAATGTGGTCGCTCCTTATCTAGCAGCTCATTTATCATTGAAATAGGAAACTTGTATGGCACTATCTCCTTATTCAGGGCCCGATAGTCCACACAAAATCATCAACTTCATCTTTCTTCTTGATCAGTAGAACTAGGCTAGAAGAAGCGCTCATGCTCAGCCTGATGATACCTGCCTCCAACATCTCTCAGATCAGCTTCTCAATCTCATCCTTCTCGATTAGTGGGTAGCGGTAAGGCCCGACACTGATTGGTGATACCCCCTCCCTCAAGGTGATGGTGTGCTCCTATCCCCTCTATGGTGGCAATCCCTAAGGTGGCTGAAAAATCTTCTTGAACTGTTGTATAATTAGTTGTACTGAAAAATGGATGTCCCCTATTTCTCCCCCTCTGATACCCTCCAAACTATATACCTCCACCATAAATCCTGATTCCACCTCATGTTTGTCTCTTACCCTTACCATGGTTTTTAGAGACAACATGGCTTTGGAGAGCCTTGCATCTCCCCTAATTACCATCCTTCTTCCTTCCATCATCAGCTCCATTATCAGTGTCCCCCAATTCACCTTGGTATCCATCGAGGTCTGCAGGGATCTCATCCTCAGGATGAGATCAATGCTCCCCAGTTCCAATGCGAGAAAATTTTCCCTCACCTAGATCCCTTGCATGGTCAAGATCACTTCCCTACACACCCCTTTACCTATCTCCATCTTCCTAATCTCCATCACATCACCCCATAATATTGTGTGCCCACAAATTTCAGCCCCAATTGGTCTATGACCTTGTTGGAGATGAAATTGTGGATAGCCTCACTATCTATCTGCACCACTACGTCCTTGTATGCTATTTTTTCTCC